CTAGTTTTCCCTCTTCTCTTCTCTTCCCCTCCCCTCGCCTCCCCTCCCTTCTGCCTTGTTTTTTGTGGGGCCGGAGTCTGTTCTCGGACCCCAGAAGTTCCTGGTCTCTGAACCTGGAAGTAGGCTGCACAGTGCACCGCCGCACTGAGCAGTTTTAAAGTCCCGGACCGTGACGTCATGGCAGCAGCAGCCAACTGCAGGGAGCTGGACTGAAAGCTCCGCACGGCAGGGACGGGATAGGGACGTTCTGGGGTTGGGGTGGGAGGATGCGCAAGGGGGCTGGCAGGCAGGGCTGGGGGAGAGACCCAGCTCCAAATATTGCTGGAGCAGGGCCTCTGGCTCTAAATATAGCTGGAGCCCATATACCCACGAGCCCATATAACTAGCCGCCCATTCTCATGCCATCCCTCCTTTCTAACTCTCTTCTCCCAACATCCATTCTCCCCTTCTTCCTTCCTTTTGCCCTCATTGCTCCTCCCCCTGCCCTTTCCCTTTCCCTGTAAGGGGCTGGGCCGAGTCTGGGCACTGCTGAGAGTGTCCACTCAGGGCAAATTGCTCAGAACAAAGGCTCCTTACAGCCCCTGACTGGAAACCTTTCCCAACAGGTCACAGACCAGTCACTTCATCTGCCAGCAGGAAGCCTCACGAGCAAAACCCCTCAGACACCCTAGCTCTCCTTGTGTGTTAGGCCCAGGGCTGATTGTGGCACAAGTGAGGGGTTATAGAACCCAATCTCACATGCCCCGAACTGGTCCCAAAGAACAAGGCACAAATCCCTGGTCAGTTTACACTTTGGATCTTACCCACAAGATCACAGTGGGTCAATCCTTTAGAACGTGGATTCCCAAACTGGGGGTCGTGAAGAAATTCCGGGGGGGGGGGATTCGAGGCGACCTAGCCACACACACCCCTGTCAATCCCACCCCAAGTTTTGCTGCTATTTTTGGGGGGGGTGAGGGTTTCTCAAAAATCAAAAAGGGGGCGTGATGTGGAAAAGTTTGGGAACCACTGCTTTAGAATCTAAAATCTAAAGGTTTATTAATAAAAGAAAGAAAAGATGGAGAGTAAAGTTGTTAAGGAAAAATACATTACATGCACCAGTCACCAAGCTCTTGATGAAGACTTTCAGTGGAGATGATACAAACTGCTATCTTAAAAGTCTCTGGTATACATCCTATGTCAGGATGGGTCAGTAGTCCTTCACGGCTATCTGTTCCTTGCGAGACTGCATCTAGGTTCAGTAGCAGAATTGAAGACCAGATGGAGTCCGCCTCATGGCACTTGTATATCTCTCCTGGAGTCCTCCTAGCCAGAGCAGGTCACATGGTCAAGTGACCTGTTTGTGTTTCACATGCTGGCAGCCATTATGCCCTGGCTGGTTTGCATGTTCCCAGATATTCCTCAGGTGTGTATTGGGCACCTTGAGAGCCATTCCTTGGTGCTCTGCTAGTTAACGTAGTCATTTATTGGACATTCCTTCCTTACAGCAGGCAGAGAACATCCACAGTATAGGCACAGAGTCCGTATTCATAACTCCATATACAGACATCACACAAGTACATGAGTAGCATATATAGAATCAGTAGAATATAAGCTTTCATTTGACACCTCACATGGCCCCCTTTGTATATAGTTTGGGGCAAACACCTCCCCTGCTGGCGCAGCAGTGATCTGGCTGCTCCCCTTAAAATCCAATAATTTGACAGTTCTATTCCCTGCCTTCCTCATGCCATCCTTCCTTTCAACCTCTCTTCTCCCAGCACCCACTCTTCCCTTCTTCCTTCCTTTTGCCCTCATAGCTCCTCCCCTCTACCCTTTCCCTTTCCTCGCCCAGCATCCCCCTGTCCCATCCCTTCTTTCACCCCCACTGACACCTTCCCATCCCCTCCCCTCTGCTCCTTCTGCCCTTTTACTTCATTGTTTCCTCTTGGCCCACTGGGATTTCTCTCTCCTCTTAGTGCTCCTTAGTGCCTTCCCCTTTCGTATGCCCTGGCCCCTCCTCTGGCCTCAGCATCAGCCCCTTTCACTCCTCACCCCTGCCTTCCCTTTAGTTCTCTCCCTGCACCTTCCTCACCTTTGCGACACCTGCACCCCTCAGTCCCCTTTAGCCCTCCTGGTGCTGGGACTGGAGCTGGGGTTGCAGTGCTGTTTTTACCAACATGCAGCATTCCTTCAGCCTGAGGAAGGGCTGAAGCTAGAGCCAGGGCCATGTGGTTACTGCCCAGCTGCTCCTGTGGTGGGTCATATGGAGCAGTTACTTCATGGCTTTGCTGAGGAGATGAGTGACAGGCAAATTTTTGGTGCTGCAGGACACATCTTAGGGGAAACTATGTTGAAGCCCATTCTGAAATGTCTCCAATTGCCCTTCTCATCCTGACAGGCTGCCGAACACCCATGTGTTGCTCCAGCTCATCCATGAAGAAACAGGCAAAGAAAATTGTTGTGGTGGAGCCAGTGTCCTTTGAAGACGTGACTGTGCATTTCATTGAGGAGGAATGGGCTCTACTGGACCTGGGTCAGGGAGCCCTCTGCAGGATGTGATGCAGGAGAATTATGAGTCTCTCAACTGGCTGGGTAAGGATTCCTGTCCCCTTAGGTATCAGAAGCTGGGTTGGGTCTGGAGCCACTTGGCTGAGTTTGGTTCAGGTTCCAATGTCAGAAATATCAGCCCCAATAGTGCTGGCTTCTGTGTGAGACACCTCTTCTGTGTGAGAACCTCCCAGGGAAAGCAGGTTCAGGCACATGACATAATGGCTCTTCCCATACTCAATGTGCTTCCCCACCATCTTGCCCTTGTTCTGCCTTGGCTGGAGGTATCTGTGGAAATGCTCAGGCAGGAATGGCAGGTGGCTGAGTTCTGGTGTTGGATCTGGATGCTGTTAGTGCCTGCAGGACCCTGGAAGGACGGTGCAGTTCCCAGAGTCCTTTCCTGGCTGTGGCTAATCTTTGTGACATGCTGGTTCCTGCCTGTGGTGTTGGGGCTGAGGGAGGGTTGATGAGGCAATTCAAGCTGTACGAGTGCTTTATGGGGTGTATTGCGGTAGTGCTTAAACGTGAAGACACTTTGGGCAAGTGACTTAGACTGTCTGTGCCCCAGTCCCCAAAATAGGCATTATAGCATGTCCCTGTTTCACAGGGCTGGTGAAAGACAAATACATTAATTAGGGGAGATGATCAGCTCCACATAAACACCCCGATAGCACAGTGGTGTCCTGGAGGTCCCAGGTCTTGCTGTGACTGATAAGCTTTGTTTCCTGTAATGACTGCAGTGCCATATGAATTGCTGCTAGTGCTGCAGTGTGTTGTTAGAGCTGCTCAGGGCGGCTCTTGTCAGAGCTCTGATGCCAGCTGCACTGGCAGAGTGTGTGGCTTGCCCATGCAGCACAGCTCAGGGTTATTGCTAAAGAAAGGCACAGGCTCCATTTGGGAACTAAGGTGCTCGGACAGGCTTGTTGTTGAAGGAGCAGACTAGTAATTCAGCTCCTTAGGCACAGGTATAGTAAGATAATACCTCCAATAATGGTACCTGCTCAGTTAGCAACCAGAACACTGCTTTTCAGCCAAACACCAACATGTCCCTTGTGTGACTTCTCCTTTCATATATTAACACAAACAAGGTGAACATTGCACTCTGGGTGTTGCTACTTCCCTTTTCCTTGTTCCCGTTTGTTAGAACAAAACATCTGTATCCATTATCCCCTCATCCCCCCTCCTGTCTCTCTCCCCCCCTTCGCCCTCCCCCCCCGATTTGCACAAGGGTTAGTATGTTCCTCTGACATCTCTTAGGAGTGTGTGTTTGCAGGTACTGCAGAGATCGGTGTGTTCTGAATCCTCTTTACTCATCTGGAATGTGCTTACATGGTTAGCTGGTACTTAGTGTAAGGAGGTTAAAGACTAATCAACTATCCAATAAGCATTTGTTTATTGGGTAGTTTTTGACTACTCAACCCGTCGATAGGCATTTCCACATTCCTCCTTTGAAATGTACAAGAGCCCCAACAGGTTCTGGAATAACATGTGCCTTAAGATGCAATCTTACTGATCTAAGTCACAGAATACATTCCCTGCTGTGCCCTCGTCCTGCAGTGATACGTGGTTGCCTTTACTAGAATGAGAAAGACGCCAACAAAGAAGCTTGAAGACTTGTGGAGACAAATGTGGGCAGTGAGTCCATACAAATGTGAATGCAAAAGTGCAGCTAGAGTCTCAAAAAGAGGTTCTGGAGGAGGCAGAACAGGGGCTGTAACCTGGAACACTCCAGATACAGACAGGCCTGAGCTCTGGGACTCCCTCTTGCCTAGAACAAACAAGTGCCAGGGAAAGCTGAAAAGGGAGTCAGCTACATG